AACATTCATAGCTCTTTAAGTGGCAGCTTTTTCCATTAAAACTATAAAATCTTTGGTTAAACAGCATCTTTAGATATGTTTATTGTCACTAGTTTGCTACAGTAGTTTACGTGTTGCGTCTCAGAATGTGCTGCAGCTAAAATTTGTCCACTTTGAGGAGGGTAACTTGTCTTTTAAATCAGTGCTTCTCAACTGGTGGGTCTCAGTCCAGGCACAGATGTATATAAGTTTGTAAAAAGCACACTTTATTTTAAGTACAGTGAATTTTCAGCACAGACCTTGAACTAATGACTAAGGAGAAATCTGAACCCTGTGGCTGGACTAACTGGGGACCACTGTTTTAAATCATAAACCAAAATTCCCAAAAAGGTCACAGGTAATTGGTTTTTAAGTTTAAAGTTAATAGAGTTGTATGATTTTTTTCAAGCCTAGTCTGAAGTCATCAAAGCTGACTCAAGTCCAGGACATGTGAGTACTACACATCTACCTGTAGCTGTGGTCGCTGCCCTGAAATGACCCAAAGATCTTGAGCTTTGAGCCGGTGTGTGTCGTGTGTTTAATGTCTAATCACCACTCTCTCTCCTCGCTTCATGATTCAGGTATCTTCAGCTTTGACCATTTCTTTCTGCGACCTCTTCAACTCTCTCCCTGCTCTTTTCAAAGCCATTAGTTTGTGCTCTGCAGCACATATCTTACATTCTCCGACCTCAATCGCAAACAGCCCTCAACGTTTGTTGTTATCTGCACATCAGCTCACGGGCCACACTCACTGAGTCTGTGTGAGTATGTGTGTGACTGCTGCATGCATACATGCATATACATCTGAGTCCATGAGTTCATCATGTGTATGTGTACAGCTGTATGCATGGACATGCGAACGAGTGTGCTTTTTGTGTGTGTGAGAGAGTGTGCGCTTGCACTTGTGTGTGATAATGGGCTGTGTCCATCAGCACACAGAGCACGAGCCCTCTGTATCAGGCAGAAGACACACTTAATGCCTGTCACAGGGTCAGATCAAGTGTGTACAAAGGAGAATTGAATCCTTTGAAAAACAGAATCCAACCAAGGACAGTTTTCCCATTTGCCAAGGAGTAAGAAAGAGAGAGGTGTATAGAAAGAGGGGAGAGGGGGAAAATGGGAGAGAGAAATGGTGTAGGTGCCTGCAAGAGAGAAATGTGTTGATCTTTTGAGATGAAAAGCCCTACTTTCACAGGCTGCAAAATGGAATGGTGGGCTTCAGGGCCAAGGCTATAAGAAGAGGAGTTTCTTTCCCCTCCAGGTCCTTTTGTTATCCTCTCATCAGTCCATCTCACAGGAGGTGGAGGTACGAGGCGAGGGCGTGGGAGGTGGTGCCTATGACAACTCTGCCCCACCAGCAAGAAATGGACTCCCTCCCCAGCACCTCAGGGGGGTAGATACGCAAGCTACCTTACGCTGGTGATGAACATAGGAGCAGAGGAAGAGGTGAGATTGAAGTTTGGAGCCAGAGGAGAGTGTTAATGAGGGGACGGCACAAGTAGAAAAGGTTCCACTGGGCTCTTTTTTAGAAGGTGGCCCCTCTTGCATTATATTCTTGACTCCCCTCCAGGAGGGCCTAATGACGCTCTCCAAGGATGGCGGTCTTGCTGAGGAGGAGGGGGTTGTTGGGAGGGGGGTGAGGTGACATACCAGGAAGAAGCGCCCTGAACGCCTCAGAGGGGGTAGCCAAGAAAAGGGAGAGAGAATGGTGTCCCCACTAGAGATACAAGTGAGAAGGAGCTCTTTTTCTCAAGACTCTTCATGTGCCCATCTTCCTCTCACTTCAATCTCTCTCTTCTTCTGCGGCTCACCTCTCCAACCTACACCCATCCTCCCCTTTCTTGCTGCTCTGTCCTCTGGAGCAGGTTGGTAATTGTCACACACAGCAGCACTATTTTCCATTAACCTAAGTATGTACAAGGAGCTAATACCTAACTGAGCTAAACGTGGGTTTAGTTGTGATTTCAAGCTCCATCACAGTCAGAAATGGGGACCCTTTGGAGGCGCTGTGAATAGGGACGCACAGATTAGGAAAGTCTGGGCCAATACAGATATTGATGTTTAAAATAATAAAGTGGCCGATACTGATGTTTTTTTGTAGTTATTTATTTATTTTTTTTATATTCTAAAGGGGTCGTTCAGACGTATAGATGCTACACCATCACAGCTCATCTCTGAAGGCTGTAGTTTGTTTACATGTGTCCATCACTCAGGGCTACGTCACATGTTTGGCTGCTCTGACTGCCTGTTAATGACGCTTTGGAAATCTAAATTGAACTGAGAGGTTCCGGATAAATTAACATGTGCGATGTAAGGCTACCGAAGCAACCTAATAGGTAGAGATCTTTACACAAAACATAGTTATGGACTTACCTATAGCTACTGTAACCCCCAAACTCCCGAACAAGCCACTATAACGTATGCACTAAATTTAATGCCAATAAAATATTTAAACACCAATTTTTTTTTGGAAATGTATGCCTTTCATGACAATGATATAATTTGTCTTCATCCACCACTCACGAAACGTGAATATAGTGCTTTAACGCATCATAATGTAACACAATCAGGCCCTCCAGAACACCTGCAGCCTTGCTTCCAATATTTCCCAGTGGCCACTTGCGGTATTGCAGCAGAAAGAAATCCCCTGCAGCCCAAAAAGCATTTTCCTCTTGACCTCCATCATAAAAAAGATGTCTGTAAAACTGTTGACAGGAAACCTCAAACTGCAAACAAGGTCAATTACGACTCTTTTTATCCTGAACTTTTGATCCATACAGGCTTTATATTTGTAAAACTTTCCTCAAACCGAGAAAAGCATTTCAAAAATCTGTGACGTCATCACAATTTTAAAAAACACTACTGTGCATATTCAGTTTGTCAGATACTGTGGCAGTAGGCCAAGAAGCTTGACATTTTTTTGGCATGTGCTAGGTGAGCAACTCAAATGGAACGAACAGGCGCCATCTTGGGCCTAAGTATTATTATAAGTCTATGAACTCAAGACAACCTCCATCAGCAGTTTCTTCCAGCCACCAGCTGCTAACAGCTAACGTTAACTAACTCTCCTCCTGCAGAAATCAACAGAGAGTTGTTGCTCACAACGTAACATTATCAGGGAAACAATAGGGTGCTTCTCCTGATGCGTCCACAGTGAGTTTACAGCATCTTTTTGTTCTGATGGCGTCCCGGAAAAGATCTCTGTTTGTTCTGAACATGCTTTCTATTGTCCCTAGACGCCATTAGCCTCGAGCCCTGCTCTTTAGCCTGCTAACTTATTTGCCGATAGGCCAATGGCAGTCAACAAGGCAAATATCTGCCAATACCAATATGTGGCCGATAAATCGGTGCACCCCTAACCGAAGCGCATAAAAAAAATTTCAGGGAATTTCCCATCCGTCCAATTTTTTTTTTAGCCAAAACAAAATCATAATTCACACCCATCTACCCCCAACCCCTTCTATTCCCCAAGAATGTCAGAGTATCCATAAACAAAATCAGAGGGTACAGTAAGGTCTCTAATCAAGGCAATCAGAGCTGTTTTCAGAGGTGTACAGCACAGCAGCAGCGCTGGTCTCATCTTTGTCTGCGCTTTAATTACTTGCTTTTGCATTTTGATGGAGGGGGGTGACGGGGGTGATTGTGCCTTATCACCTATCTCCAAGGATAAAAGACTACCCAATTACTTTGTTTGGATGCTAATGATTGCATTTCATTAGTAGCCGCTCTTAGCCCTCCTCACCCAGTAAATGAATGAATATGCCGTAATTTCAATTATTGGAATTATGAAAATTGCTTTTAAAAAGACGGCACGGGTATCATCAGCTTTCCACTGTGACATAATGCCATTTTAATTTCTATAATAGTTTTAATTGTCAGTGGCCCCGCTGTGCATTAATCATTTAATTGTATTGTCTTTTTCCCCCTGCAAACACCTACACCCCCTGAACACCCACACGCTTTTCCCGCCCCAGCTTTGAAAATACAAATCACAATCAGCACTATCATCTTGAGAGTGATGAGAGACGACGAAAACAAAAACCAAGTTAGAGATGTGATTCAAAGTTCTGAGATGGTGGTAGATTTAGTTTTTCTTTGTTAAAGTTTTTTGTTGCAGAGAGAAAATAACAATTATCTGACATTCTGGTCAGATTTTTAGCCCAAAACAGCTCATTGAAGCAGGTGAAAAATGAAATGATTTTGTAAAGACAGCATTACACCAGTGCTAGCATCCCTGCACTAGCTACCTGTCAAATACAGGATTGATTTTAAGGTTCTTTTATTTGTTTTTAAAGCCACACATGGGCTGGGACCGCAGTATATTGCTGAACTTCTCTGGCCCTACTCCAACTCCTGACCTCTTAGAGCCTCAGAGCATTGTCTTTTAACTGTCCCATGATCGAGGCTGGTGGGTAAGGGAGATTGTGTCTTTGCGGCAGCTGCTCCAAAGGTTTGGAAAAGCCTTCCGCTCTCAATCAAACCCCCCCCCCCCCCCCCACCATTAACACTTTTAAGACAAAGCTTAAAACGTACATGTTTTCAATGGCCTTTGGTTGTTTGTAGTGGTTTTAATATTTAGTATTTAATAATCTTTTTTTTGTGTATGTAATTCTTGTTCATTTGTTTTATATTTGTTTACATTTTATATTGCTATATATTTGTGTGTCATTCTTTTATCTTGTACAGCACTTTCAACTGTGGCTGTTTTTAAATGTGCTATACAATTAAACTTGATTTGATTTGATATAACGCAGGCTTCCTATCTCAAAGTCACGTTAAATACATGTAGAACTGTATCAGTACACTTAGCTATTACGCTTTCGAATATTTATTCATTCTCTGGGACAAGAAAGGGAAATATTTTGTTGCATTAAAGAGAGATCTGTGCCATTGTTTGCTGAGACGGCATAATTCAAAAACCCTGACGCCAGCTTGCATTGATTTCACAGAAAGGGTCAAAAGGTCAAGGACATCACACATACCTCCTTTGAGAAGAGCAGCGCCTTTGTGGCCACAGTGACCTCCCGTAATCCTGCAAAAAAAAAAGAAAAAAAAAAAAAAGAAAAAGAAATCACTGACTATAGTATTCACATTCAGGGAAAATATAAATACAGCTTATATTTGCTTTTATGTTCATGATAATAATTATCACTATATTCTTATTTTGCATCAGACGTAAAGACATTGTTGGGTTGACTATTGGTGCTTTCACAAAATATTTATGCCATGAGATTTGTGATAAATAATCACCAGTAATGTGGATATAATGACGAAGTGGGTAGAGGCAAATAATAGAATAGCGAGAACAGTAGCTTTGCTGTAAAGCAGCCATTAAAACCTGGAAAAGACCACACTTACAATATTAAGATATCCAAAATTCTAGTCTAGTTTCATATCATGGTATCAGTATAATATTGATATATTTCCAGCCCTAACTTCACAGAAAGGAAAGCTATATCAAATAAAAACTGCAACTTGAAAATGTGAAATAGAAGGATGACTATAAAAAGGAACAAATAAATGGATTCAATCAATGATAAACTGAAAGCAAATTTTTTAAAATCCAATCTGTTCCCTATTTAATCCCCCAGCTGTGTTTGTGTACAGATGCTTCTAAATTCACGTTTTGCAGCACTCTGCAGCAACCACATATGTTTAAAGGCAAAAAGACAAACGGTAAAAGCAGAGACAATTATCATGTTTAAGCACAAAAGGCCAGAAGTGCAGCACTGCACTGAAACAAAGATGTAAAATCAAATACTCAACATGTCAATTTATTCACTGTTTTATATGTGTGGAGCTGGGAGCCGTGCAGCAGCAGCAGCACCATGAGAGGGAAAAAGTCTGACTGACAGCCTTGAGAAGCCCTCCACTGTCTCCTCCATCGCTCCTCGAGAGGGAGGAGGTCAAGTGTACCCCCTCAAACAAACACACTCGGATGCCCATGCAGAACACCTTGCCAAGCCTTTTAGCCACAGCTATTTTTCTTAAACTCGTGTCATCAAGAGCAGCGGAGGCATCGCTCAGGTTTGAACTTCTTCTATAGGATCAGGTGTGCTCCCCCTTGAATACATTTAAGGCCTTAACCTCCAAATGTTTTCTTTGTGGTGTGCTTTGAAAAGAGGGAAAGCATTCTGCAAGGATACCACTGACGTTTTTATGCCACCAAATTAGTTGGAATCCGGCAGTGTGGAAAAAAAAAGGGCACTTCAGACCTTCTAACATCAAACACTCTGAAAGCACAACAGGAGCTTTTCTCACAGAAATATGAGCACAGGAGGTAACAGTGCATGGAAACCAGAAACATCTAACAGGTGCCAGAAAAACCTTGGAACCTATTGACCATCGGTCTGATGACGTCGGCTAATATTTCAGACTGATCCAGTGTAAACAAGGGATATCCAGGTCAACACTTCCTCTTCCATGTGCCAGTCATTTCAGCTAATCTCTATAAACATGTATCTGTGTGTGAATGCTGGAGACTGTCCTCCAAAATACGACCACATATTTACGTGTTTGTACTGTACAAGCAAAAATTACTTTCTTTGTCAGGAGGTCACCTACAGGGGCCGTAGTAATTATTACAGGAGCAAAGGAGGAAGACGATGGAGTATAAAAAGCGAGAAAGTCAGCTTAGAGTGGAAGGGAGGGGGGTGGACGTGTCAAACTACCACAGGACTTTTATCCAAGGGAATGTTGTTCATGTCATGTGAAACCAAAAGGTAAACATAGAGTTATTTTGACAATGAAACGTAGTATGTCAACATATGTCACATGAGTGATTTATGGACGCTGTGTGTGCGTTGTCCCATGGATTTCAATGCACTCTATTTCCTTGTACCGTTTCAGTCTGTCTTTTTATATGTCTCTTTGTAATATTTTAATTTTTCTCTTCTTATTTCTTCTTTTGCCTGCCTCAGGGACTGCAGATGGAAACTAGCTAAAAAGCTATAATCTGGTGCAGTGCATCTTTACTCTGTTGAGTCCAATGTTCTCTGTACATGGTCCCTGATAAAAAAAAAATAAATGAATTAAAAATTTTTTTTAAAAAATGTAATGTTACCTTATGGTCCTTATCCACTAAAATTAGTATGTGTACGCGGATTTTTTAAACACTGGTAAACCTGCTAAATAGGCTATAGACCTCTTTTCAGTAGACAGTAGACCAGAGCTGTGTACACGGCTCTGTCGTTCTCTGTGTGGGTTTTTTGTTTTTTTTTGGATGTGTCACAGACAGGCCTGAAAACGTGTAGTAGACAGTAGAAAGCAGCATGGAGGCCAGTGAAAATGTTACAATGGTTTCTTCTTTTTATATATATCTCTTATTCATTCAGTCTGTCTTTCAAACTTAGTGCCTGCTCATTTGGAAAGATGGAACGAAATTCGCACTTTCACCCAGGCGTTTCCATCAGAGCCGAGGCTGATAAATACTCTTGACTACTGCAGAGTCATCTGACCCAGGTGTGATTAGCAATTGTTTCTCATTCCATTAAAAAGCCAGATGTTAGCAGGTTTTTGTGCAGTGGAAAGGGGGTTTTAGCGACAAACAAAGTTATCCTGGGCCAAACCATGATATTTTTTCTAAACGTTACCACGTAATTTTGGTGCAACTGCAACATGGGCAGATTATGAGACAGTGGGCCCCTGGGCACAGATATGCAAAAGGCTCCACCACCTCTCCTACACAGGAGGACAGAATACACTCGTACAAGCATCTCTTTATAGTTATTATAAGTCTTTTTGTGGTTTTGTGTCTATTTGTAGTCGTTGTGTCTATTTGCAGTTCCTTTGCATCGCTTTGTAGTCATTATAACTCTTTTCCTGGTTGGTACATGTTAATTTGAGTGACATTTTGCAGGTGAACAACAGGGCAGATGCCCCATCTGAGACTTTGGGCCCCTGGGCCTGTGCCCGCTTGGCCGGTTCAGTAATCCAACCAGGAACTGCAATCATTCCATAACATTACTGACATGCTTTAAAGTGCAACCATTAACTGTCGTACAAGCTCTTCTGTCATTCACTGGTCGGTTTGCTAATTTAGGAAACACTCATATTCAGAGGTATGACCATACAAATTATGTTGCTGTATCAGTTGGAGGACTTGTTGGAGCGCACACACATTTAAACAAGCTAATATAAAGCTAAATTGTCCAACAGAAGCTGACGGGTTCGGAGCATTTTGGCCAACATGTTCCAGCTCTCAACACAGAATGTTTACCTGCCGCTCAAACAATATTGGTCAATACGGTCGGACTACAAACAGAAACCAGAACGCTACAGATACCACATTTTTGTCCTGTTGCCTCCAGATTCTGTAAATATATGCAGATATCTGTTTAGAGAAATTAGTGCCAGACATGCAGAGCGTACACTCAGTGGCGGTCCATCTTTACAAAGCTCACAATGTTCAGGATTTAAGTGACATTATTATAAATGTGTTAGATTCAATTATATGTTCAATACAGAGGTGAGAGTTAAAGGTGGTGTACTGCACTGCTGCAGGTGACGTTTGCTGTAATTTACATTCATTTACATGCAGAATGTTAAAAACACCTTTCAGACAGGTAAAACACCAGCACTAACTATGACCTCAACGTTAAAGCATACACTTCACTTAACACCTTTATGACAGGGTCAACAAAAGCTGAGCATTAGAGGCATCATTAAAGTAGACCTTAGAGCATTTGACTGCATAAGACTGCACAGATGGGTGCACTAAGTAAATTGGAGACAGTGTGTGTCAACAGATTACTGAAGACAGAAAGAAAAACTGGCCATTACTGTCTCTCTGTTTTACTTTATACATTTGGAACGCTGCAATGTTTTCTTGTCTCGGCAAAGTCTCCCTTAAAAAGAAATTTTAATCTGACGGAACTTCTTGGTTGAAACATGGGTAATTAAAAAATATAAGAAAAGAAATATGAATGCAATCTGAATGAGTTACTGGTGACCGTTGGGTCGTGTAGAAACATGTAGACATAGTTTTATTCAAACAGCTCCACACTTCTATGAGAATCAGTCTGTAATCATGAACCGATGACCTGTTAGGTGTTCGTTTGTTTTGCAGCCTTTTTACAAACTCCTACCCACTTTAAAATTAAGTCAGTGCAGTAGTTCATGACCAAGCTATATAAAAATGCTGACAAATTATTTTAAAAAAGATCTGCAGCTTCATTCAGATCCACACCGAACTCTACATACAGATTCTTTAGTCTGTGGTTTTACTATGTTCCTTCAGATTTTGTGCTAACTAACAAAAACCAACCGATGAATGTGGAGGTCATGATTAATCTGCACACCCTGTGAAAGCAGAACCTGCTGAACGGCAATTTAAAACCATTTATTAAAAATCCCATTTCACTAATAACAAAACGCGGAATCAGGAATCACTAGTTTGCTCACAAAAGAGGGTCCTCGTGTAAAAGAGTAAAACTGAAGTTCATCATTAGCATATAGGCTAAAAGTCCCACAAGTACTGACAGTGTTTCTTGTTGTCTGTCCAAAATTAACAGCTATTAAAGCTGTGGAGGAATCATCCCCAACATTCAGCGCTGAGGCCTTTTTTTTGTGTGTTACCAGGACCAGGCGCTGTCACTCAACAGTGACGAAAGGAGGCAGAGAAAGAAAGAAAAGCAAATGTGTGTGTGTGACAGAGACAGAATGAGGGGAGGACATAAAAACGAGTGCGAGTGGAAGACAGGGAAGTACACTTGATTGAGGAGAGGATTTAAAAAAGACTTGACCTTGGTAAGTTCGAATTATATGACTCTGTGGAAGGGCCGCGTGGTCCTCATCGGAGGCTTTCTTTTCATCCAACAATAATTTTTCTTTTTCCCTAACAGAAAAAAAACCATTTTGGCAACTTGTTAACACTGTCTTCAGGGCAGAGGGTCAAGAGGTCTCTTAACATACAGTGAACAAAGATGGAGATACTGTGTGTTTTTTTTTATGACTGTCTAAAGAACAAGACCTCGCTGACAGGCTTTTTATATTGCATCAATGGCAGCCTGATGAATGCCTGGCCTGTGACCAGCTCCTACACAATTGTGCCATCTTCTGGAATAAATGGGGAAAATCTATCAAGGACGGGGAGGAATTCAACAGGAATTCAGTTTGAGGATAACTTTGAGCACAGATAAGCAAGAAAAAGAAAAAGAAAAGAGTCTGGGTTTCCTAGGCTGAATAGATGCTATTATGGGGTGCTTCTTTTTCAGTTTATTTCAACTTTAAATTCCCTTTGTTCTTCAGACATCTTTCAAAATATCACATGAAATTCAACGTTCATTTAAAAAGTTGCAGGTCTACAACTTACTAATTTGCTCTGAAGCTTTCTGGGTTGAACCGTTTCACTCTGTATCAGTGTTGTCAACATAGTGAATATTTGAGACAGTTTCAACACTCATTTTCTGCAGTATCTATACTCACTTGCTCTTATCATTTTACTGCAGTCATGCTGCTGTTCTCTGCTACTGCCCAAGAAATAAAAAGTAATCACTGTCATGTCATTGTTCATTAGAAACACTTATATCCATTGGTGAATTTAAGGGCATCATAAAGAATGTGGTGACAGAGACATGTGCTTGTTTTAACATGGATTTTTGTATTAAATGTTGTATTTGTTGCATTTTAAATGTGTCCTGATTGGCTGCTACCTCAGCCAGGTCTCTCTTGTAAAGAGATTTTCCATCTCAATGGGACTTCCTGGTTAAATAAAGGTTAAATAAATAAAATCAAATGTCATACTCAACTTCATTTATATACAGACATGTAGCCCAAATTGCTTCATATAGCAAAATTAAAACATGGACAAAAGAATAAAGAATAAAATAACAAAGTTTTGCAAGACTAGAAAATATTAAAAAATCAATAAATCAAAGTTTACAGAATAAGCCTTGTTGAAGCTAAGTGAATTTATCTTTTATGATAAAAGAAATTAAATTGTATGAACTCAATGTCACTTTTTTCCCATGGCACTGAATATTGATATTTTGGTATTGGGGTATTGTATCAAAGTAGTGCCACCATAATTGTAATTGGTACACCTCTAACTAAATGATTCACCTAGCGAGTGTGTTAGTCAGTGCACTACAGCTGCGACAATTAGTCAATTAATCAATAAGTGGATCAACAATAAACTGAACAAAAAAAAAAATCTTGACGATAGAATAATCGTTTTAGTAATGCATTAGGCAAAATCAACATTTACCGGTTTAATGATAAATAAAAGTGAGATTTTTTTCTGTATCATACATGATGATAAACTGAGCTGGATTTCAAGAGTTAGATAAAGTAAAGCATTTGAGGACATCATCGTGGGCTCATGGAGATGACGCAGAGCGTGTTTCACAGTTTTCCGTATTCCTCACCTACTACGCCATAAATAAAAGTTTCCCCTCAGTAACCTCTTAATTACCTTCATCTTAACATGCTTTGCTCAGTGTGGGCCATATAAGGTGGTCGTACCACAGGAGTAATTATTCTCCTTTAATAACACTTAAGTATGGTCTATTCTTACGAAACACAACTACAAGTGTTAACAGCGTCTAAGTAACTCCAAATTAATAACTCAGAATATGTTCCCCACTCAGTGAGGTCTTACTAATAACTACCTCACCAGCGGGTCGACACTTATGAACCCACACAGGTTCCACATACTGAGTAAAGCACTCACTATCAGCCACAGATTAATCAATGTATGTGAAACACTGCAAGCTTGATGAGCAGGGACAGCTGAATGTGGCAGTTTTATGCAACGTACATGTTAGTAAGTGAGTAAGTAAAGCTTATTTAAGATAATACCTTTCACAGAGCGAGGCCACAAAATGCTTACCTGAAATAAAATTGTTAAAATAAGACCATAAAAACAGATATTACCTCTAGTTCAACTGTTAGAGTGTGTATCTCAATCCAACCCGCGGTCCTTCGCTGTTTCATTCCCCTTCTCTCTCTGCTCCCTGCCCTGTCATTCCAAAGCTGCCCTATAACAAAAGGTGAAAAGCCAAACAGTTATTAGTTTAACAATTTTCTATGCAGTGTATGATGCTGCTGAATTAACAGTCAGAGAGACTGGCTCAGATGAGATGTGCATTGGTTCATCATATAGTCTCTAGAAGTGTATGATTCAACTTTTTCCCACAGTCTAGTGTTAAAAAGTAAAAATAAATATCAAAATAAATCTCTATCTTCATAGAATCACAATACCTAAAAATTGCACAACATATCCAGCCAGCACCCAGGTATTGTGACAGTATTGAATCAGGAGATAAGCATATCGTCCTAGAACCACCTATCAATAAGCAGTAATCAAGAGGTTATTGAGGGAAAATTCTTAGCTAATAAAGCTGCTGAATATAGTCATGCAGAAGAAAGCATCAGTGAGTGCTCTCTAGTGACTAATTAAGAGCCAATACTATGACATGCACACTAATAAGCTATGAGTTAATCTTGAATATGTGAACCTTAATGTAAACTGTTACCAATACAACAATAACATTTCTTATAAGCAATGAATAAATATTTACTAGGAATTCTCTTCTCCCTAATAACAAGGGACAAATCAACATATTAAAAAAGCCTTTCAGGAAATTTTTAGCAAATTATTTGGATATCATTGACCCACAGAATAAAGAGTTGTCAAGTACAGTCCTGGTGAGTTCAGAATCACCACACAGAGGTTGATACAGTCTGTTATACAGTGTGTGAGACTATCGATGTCAAGAGGTGCAAGAACCAGTAGAGAGATGAACACTATCTCAATGACTTGATGTCCACAGTTCACAGATAAGCTAAAAACAGAAATTGCATGCGAGGTGCTAAAAAAAGACTAATTAAAAAAACAAGAGAAGATACGCTCAACATTGAGCAGGAGCTGCTGTAGCAAGCTGCCACATGATTAATGCTATCTATACATACACAAACAACAAAACAAATTATAGCTGCTGCGCAGTGATGGGTCGGGTCCGGGCATTTTTAGGCAATTCTGAGCAACGAGGAATTTTTAGGAATTTAGCAACACAATCTGCCTTTTGCATCAGCTGAGGCTTGAACTCACAACCTCTGAGAGTAAGAATCAATTTCTATCTCACTGAGCTAATTAGTCAGTGACAATTCATGTGTAGCTTCACAAACTGACTAAGCCAGACGTGCAGGTTTAGCAGCCGTCCATGCATGGAAAAGCAGATTTCAAACCACTGTAAAAAATTCAGTTATCGAAACAAAAATCTGAAAATACACATATTGCATCTAGACAGCATGGAGATGTTGGTTATTTATTTGTAACAATGATTGATTTGCTCCATAAGTGAAAAACTGATGTTTAAAATTGCCATTTTTACATTGACTCCAATTGTTCACATTAGAGCAAAATCTGTCAAAAATTCAGTTTGAGATAAAATTCTGAAATTTGCCACACATCATCTACCATGACTCTAGAATTTTGTCATTTTTTTTCATGAACATTGAAGATTTATTTTTGCATGTATATGTTTACAGTACCGTTTACAGTCAAACATTTTGATGCACTGTAGGCTCAATTTTTGATAAATCAAAAATTGGAGAAACAGTTTTTGTAGGACAGTCTGAAGATGCTCTGTAGCAAGTTTGGTGTCAATTGAGCAAAAATTGTGGGAGGAGATAGGTTTAAGAAGTTTTACAGTTTTTGAAAAAAACAGTGATGAACTTCATAATTTTTAATAGGTTTAAATGTACAAAAGTTTCTTCAGTATTGGGGCTACAGTTTGATGAAAGTTGTGAAGTTGTAGCACGTATGGTTGATTTGTTATGAATTTTCAAAGTTTTGAACTTTAGACGCTTGCTGTAGCGCCACCATCAGTACTATTGGCTTGAGTTTACAGCTGAGGATATCTGGCATGAGACTGGACCTTTGTGCAAAGTTTGGTGAGTTTTCACCCATGGGAAGTAGGATTTCCTCGGAAGAAGAAAGAAGGAAGAAGAAGAAGAATAACTAGGAATACAATAGTGTCCTGGCAGCTTAGCTGCCCAGACCCTAACTAGAAGTCTGAGGACTATCTTTTAGAGTTTGTTACGCTTCTCGGCTATACATCGATAAAGAAAATATGCTGCCAAGTAAAATGATTTAGAAACTTTGGACCTTTAAGCACACCCAGAACCCCAAATCACTCCGATGACATGTTCAGGTAAAATAGGACAACTGAAAGGTAAAATGAGACAGCCATGTTTGTTCTTTAAGTGGTTAAATGCATTTTTAGCAGTTCAGTCATTAATTCATTAAATCATTATTATAACCTAACTATTATTAAAAAAGGATTGTCCAACTTGTCTGCATGCTCTTCCTGTTCTTTTCCTGCCTGTGTCATTGGTGCCACAGTGTCTACAATAGTCGTGTGTGTGTGTGTGTGTGTGTGTGTGTGTGTGTGTGTGCGTGCGTGTGAGTCACTGAAGGCTAATTCTGGATTGTTGTGGCTGTCATGGACTCTCAGACTCTCTCTGCATCATCACTAGTATTTTGTAAGTGACAGAAATACTTCAAACTTCTGTAATATGACAGGGTGTCACACAACAGCATAAGTCGTGATTTTATAGCACCTGCTCGTCTGGTTCAGCGACAAAGGTCACGGGGAGGAAGAAACACCAATCCCTGCAGACACTGTATGAGCAGTCTGTTCTCAGACAAGCACAGAGAATACTGTCTGACTCTTCCCACATTCTTCACGCAGAGTAAGAGCTTTTACCTTCAGCGCAGAAGATACAAGATACCCGAATTTAAACTGAACCATTCAAAAAATTCACTTGTGCCAACCTCAAGTATGATTTTAAATGATGTCGCTTGATGCTTCAGGGTTGTGTTGTGTTTTGCTTATGGTGCTCTGTTGTGTGCTGATGTTACATGCAATACATGTGTGGCTGATGTGCAGGACTGTTATGTGTAGTATGTGTTTTTATGGTGTATGCTTTTTATTTCTTTTGGACAGCAATACTTGGGCAGCTCCGGGGTCCAAGACAAATTTCCCTACAGGGACAATAAAGTATATCGTATCGTAAAAACCTGCTGGTTTCACCTCAGAAAAATGTCCCATTTTATCTAAATATTTTGTCCCATTTTTTTTTTTGTATCAGTATTTACCAAACTGTGCAATACTTCATGTACACAGTAATGTGAATTCAGTTTATTATATTTTGCCTTTTTCAAACTATTAACTATAATAATTATTCTTCAGGTGCAGTATCTCTTCTTCCTATGTGCAATAATGGGAAATCACCCATTCAATCAGTTTATCACAATATTCTGATTTGATGCAATGATGCAACTAATAAAGGATTATCTTATCTTGTTATTGTAAAGAAGCAGCAGTAAAATTATCAGGGCCATGCCCGCTGTTGGTTTGGATGGATATATTTCTATTTGGGGTTTGTGGAGCTGTGAGAGAGGCTGGTGTGTGTGTGTGTGTGTGTGTGTGTGTGTACTCGTGAAAGCATGGGTGTATGGGTGTGTATTTGGGGTTGTGGGGGAGCCAGGGAACTGAAAGAGAAGATTGGGGAGTGATTCAATCGCTACACAAATGGATTTGGCTAATAGAAGGAGCCTCTGATCCTGACTGGTGCACAGCTGGAGCTCCCCTAATTGGAGAGGGTGAAGAGTGGAGAAGAGAGTGGAGAGAAAAGAGAAAGAGAGAATATGGCCCCCACAGAAAATGCACCTCTGCTGTCACACTATTGAGTCGACGAGGATCATGCCAAACGTTAATACCAGTGAAAAAGGACACACGTCGGGAACCAAAGTCATGTGGAGGCTCATCGTGGCTCAGTATTCATATTCCCGCCCTTTTTGTGATGGTTCTCAGTGTTTTAAATATCTAATGAAGGGTGCCGTGTGAGCAAAAAGTGGCCGGCTCTAAAACCCACTTCACATCAGCGAGCACCATTAGAGAGGAAACAGGGCCTGATAGGTGACAACAGGAGTCTTGTGAACGTTTAGCAGCACTGAGTACTCGCCACTCTGCGTCAGTGAATTGCAGTCATTGTTGAAAGAAATACAGCATATTTGTGATGCACTGTTGTTAATGACCTTCCTTGTTATTGGGATAGTTGGAGGTAACAAAATGTCAGATGAGTTCAGGCAAGAAATGAATTCACACTTAAATTCCTGAATAGATTACAAGAAGTGATCATTTCCCATCACTGTTGCCTTTGTGGCGGCGTGAACAGACCAGAGAGCGTTCAAAACATCCAACAAGAGAGCAAGGCTCATCGTTTTCACAGCTACTACACCGACTGTGCAGCAATAAAAGATTATAAGAGGCCATTATTCTTTATAAGCCTCCACAGAAAACAGGAGAAGAACTAAACAGATTCCACAGCTCAGCAAAAATAAATGTTCATTACATCATTCCTATAAACAAAAGCATGTGCTAATTCATAATACACAAAATGATTTGCTTTCATTCACACAAAAATCCAAATTGTCATGTGAGTAAACACAAGTTTACCATTCTGTTTAAATGTTAATGTTAAAAGTCTGTGGTTTAAATTCATTTGGTACGTGCATGTGACAAACTTTTGTTTATAATGATGAGCAAAGCTAGACCTCAGAGCTGCAACGATTAGTCAAATAATCAATTAGACAATTGATGGAAAATTAATCACCAATTATTCTGATTATCAATTTATCACTTTAGTCATTTTTTAAGCAAAAATGTCAAATATTTGCAGCTTCCAGCTTCTTAAATGTGAGGATTTGCTGCCTTTATTGGTCATTTTATGAAAATAAATGAGAAATCTTTGGGTTTGTGACTGTTAGTTGGATAGGAGAAGCACACTGAAGACTATAGGAAATTGTTATGAGCATTTTCTTTTCTTTTTTTAAAGATTTTTCAGGGCTTTTTGCCTGTAATGGACAGGAAAATATGAAATATGGAGGGAGAGAGAGAAAGAGAGAGAGAGAGAGAGAGAGAGAGAGGGAGAGGGGGGGGGACGACATGCAGCAAAGGGTTGCAAGCCA